TGTTCTTTATTTATATTATACCAGTTGTTGTTTATTCTTGTTAGCTTTTGTATTTGTGTGCTAAGCTGTCTGACAGCTGTTCTTAAACATACTCCCTCTAGGAAAAAAATTGTCAACAAAGGTGATTTTGTAGCATGAAGGATAGATCAAGCTCTGATGCTGGATTTTCAGCTAGGCATTAACACTAAGATTTTGTGTTTGTTTGGTTTTTTTAATTTTAAATGGTCACTGGCTTCATTTGTTCTGTACACCGTTTGCACATACCTTAGAGAACTGAAATGAATTTTTCATGGTTTTCATAGTATTTAGTGGGAAAATGTAGAAGAAATCCCAAATTCAGGTTTGCTGGCCTACTCTGAGATATGTTTGTAAAACACTGAGATAGCAGTCCCTAAGAAATGGGAATGCAAAGAGTATCTCTAAGTGGAATATCAGTGTTATTGGAATATTGTGTAAGGTAGAGAGAAGCTGTTACTTCAAAGAAAAAAGTGTGCAAAATTGAAAATACAGAGAATTTGAAAGCATTTGGGTGGGAACCTATGAATAAGATAAAATAGTACATATGGAAAGTATCCTGTGCATACAGTCACTTATTGCGTTTCTGCTCTCTGATAAGAAGCTGAATCCATGAATTGTTTCTCTGCTTTCTCCATTTTTCCTATTCATTTTTTTTTCTCCCTACCCTAGGTGTAGATTTAGCTGATGGTTCCTGTGCTCATCCCACAATTCCTGGCAGAGTATCTCCTCTGTTACCTGCAAATCATGTGACAATGGCAAAAGGAACAGGATTAGTTCACACAGCCCCAGCTCATGGTATGGAAGACTACAGTGTAGCTTCTCACCATCAGCTACCCACGGTACTTGATTATTTCATCTTTTGCTCTTGATTTCCTGCAGCTGTTGGTTAACTGAAAAATCATTCAAATACTAACCAATGAGTTGATGGAAGATAACTGTGGTATTTTTGCAAACATCATGGGGCTTGCTTCTTCTTGTGTCAAATTAACTTGTCTGAAGGTAAACTACTAAGTTGCAGTTTGTTAAACCTGAAGCATACTCAAATCTAACATAATTTGCTTCTCATTAGAAAAGCAGCTACTCGGCAGAGTGCTTAACTCACTTTTGACTACCAAAAAAAGTAATTAATAGCCACTGGAATGGACTGCCCAGGGAGGTGGTGGAGTCACTGACTGGATGTTGTGTTGAGGAACATGGTTTAGTGGGAGCTATTGGGAATAGGTGAATGGTTGGGCTGGATGATCTTTTAGGTCTTTTCCAACCTTGGTGATTCGGTGATTCTGTGATTTAGTATTTTATTGACATAATCTGTGTTTTTGTTTTTCAGGAATGTCTTGTGGATGAAAGTGGGCATTTTACTGAAGCTGCAGGTCCTGAACTTAAAAACAAGAATGTACTTGAAGAAGGAAATGAAGTTGGTGAGTGTCTGATGTTTAGCCATTTATTACTTTGTGTTACATCCCTGCAGCTGTATCTTGATGGTTCGTATAAACTGAAGATGTTTTGAATATGGATGAGATGCAAGCACTTTTTTTTATGTGTTCTTTGTGGAAAGGAATTAATTGAAGTTAACATGAGTGTTGTGGTCAAACCTGATTTTCATCTTGCTTCATTTTTTTCCTCTTAGTCATTAAGATGCTTCAGGCAGCAGGGAGTTTGTTAAAAGAGGAGAAATATGTGCATAGCTACCCATATGACTGGAGGACTAAAAAACCAATGATTATTCGTGCCAGCAAGCAGTGGTTTGCAAACACAACAAATGTAAAGGCTACAGCACAGGTATCTTACTTTGCTTTTCTGTGGGACACTTAGAAGTGGCTGATAATACTTGAAATTGGGAAATGGTCTTGATGCAGGTCACTGCAGACCTGTACAGACAATACACAGTTGTGTCGAGTATTATAAAAACCATTAATGTTGTCACTTTATTTTTTGTCAATATTGATGTAATTCAGGATGAAAATAATGACTGATAAGTTTGTTCATTGTATTTGCAGGAGATATATAACATTCTTAAAGAGCTACTGAAATTTTTTCCACAAAATGTTTTTTATACTGTCTCTTCTGATCTGACCTTGAAACATAGTATTTTTATCACTGGTAAAGTTAGCTTTGTCATTACAGTAGTCTTGCAAGGTAAAATGCCTTTTGATCATCTACTCATTCTGCCACAGTCCTATTTTAAATCACTTTAAAATATTTTATTTTTTTAAATGCAGTGCTCTTTAAAACTATGTACATCTGCACAGAAAACTCCAACCAGTGCATTAGGCTGTCTTGGGTAACAGTGATTTTGCTCTACTTAGGGCATGAGTTGTTTATTCCATATTCATCCTTTTTCTAGAAAGAATTAAAACAAGGCAGTTATTCAGAAAGGTGGGCAGTGAGTGGTTACCCACTCTCTGTAATACAGGTAATGTGTGTCAAGATGCAGTTTCAAAGCAGAGATGCTGAAGTTATTTTTAACTCACTAGGGTATGTCTGTCAGAGCTGGCAAAATATATATATATATATTAGTTGCTCTGGGACGTGACTTGGAGGTAACCTGATAGTGGCCTTTCAGTATTTAAAGGGAAGCTTCAGGAAAGAAGAAAACAGACTCTTTGTCTGTTGTGATAGAACAAGGGAAATGGTTTCAAGCTTAAAGGTGGTAGTTGTAGATTAGATGTGAGGAAAAAGTCTTTTATAGTGTGGGTGGTGAGGCATTGGAAGAGGTTGCCCAAAGATGTGGTTGATGTCCTGTACCTGGAGACTTTCAAGCAAGGCTGAATGTGGCTCTGTGCAACCTTATTGAGCTGTGAATGTCCCTGTTCATCACAGGGGTGTTGGACTAAATGACCTTTCAAGATCCCTTCCAACTCTAAGGATTCTGTGATTCTGTGTTAGACTGTATGTATTGTATGTGAGTGAGGAACAATGTGTCTGAATGCTGAATCTTGTCCATCAATTTACTGTCTACTTTATAGGAAGTGCTAAAAAAAGTGAAAATTATTCCTACATCTGCAGTGAGCAGAATGCTTGAAATGCTGGACAGAAGGACATTTTGGTGTATATCACGGCAAAGATGTTGGGGTGTTCCTATTCCTGTTTTTTATCAGAAGGACACGGGAGAAAGCCTGATAAACAGGTATTCCTCTAACTCTATGCTGAGAAATGAAGGAATGAGCTCTGTTCTCCTGCAATTATACAGTATTGTAAAACTTACTATAACTATTCCAGTATAAATATATGTTTTTTCTTGCAATCATTTATACGCACACCTAATTTAGCTATAAATTAAAACAGTCAGAAACTCATTACTGGAGGCGACTTTTTATGGAAGAGGCAAGAATCAATCAACTTAGATACTTAAGTTATCTGAAGAGTCTCCTTTATAGTAACTGCAGCTTTCATTCTCCTCCTCCAAGTTAAATGAGATGGCAGTAGTCACTGACTTCTACGTTTAAGCAAGGAATGAAATGCAAGTTGTGACTAAAATAGATCCTAACTATAATCTTAGCACTGTACACTGAATAATACTGATATTTAGACAAAATAACAATTTGAAATTCACTAACTGGTAATGAGAAATCTGAAGTAGAATAACCAAATCAGTTGGAAAACAAATAACTACACTTGGTTTTAAAGTAAAATGAGTGGTTTTGAAAAGTCAGCTTTAGTAATGGGAGTGAGAGAACTCTGGGTGTATAATTTGGTAGGTCTAGAGCTGCAGGTGCCTTTTTCTGCCATCTTTTGTCAACAGTGCTCAGTTATTGCAAACATTGAATTTCAGGAATTCCAGGCAGTGTAATGCAGAAGGAGTCCATCTGTGCTTTAAAAAAGGAAACCTCAGCCACATCCTTTTTGTCTCTTCAGAATTAATAGGTTACTGCTTTTACTCCTTTGGGCAAAGAGGTGTTCAACTGCGAGCACCCTCTAAGAGGTCATTTCATTAAAGTATGGTAGAGTTCCATATTCACTGTTTATTTCCATAATTGTTTTCTGCCTTATTATATGCTAGTAGAACTCCATTTTATACTTTTTATACATTTTAACTTCAGAAATGTTTGTGTAAATTCAGTATGGACGGTGAGATTACACAGCTGAAGACTAACTTAAATTGTGTTGCAGAACTTTCTTTATTTTGCTGATGAATAAATATTCCTGAAATTGTCCAGCTTGTTTTCCAGAAGCTGGTCTGAGCATGTAAATGTAATAGCTAGTGAGACTTGGGGTGTAGGCAGTAGGGAATGGACTTTAAGCAGCTAGTCCTTAGCTTTACCTGGTGTGACTGGGTGTGTAGGTGCACAGGTAAGTACTTTGCCTCCCACTGTAGGCAATAACTGTGAGAAATGACTACAATAACTGTAGTCTTTTATAGTACTTGAGTAATGCTGAGGCACATCAGGAAATATGGAAGCCTTATGGAATGTGAAATCATTTTACTTGCAGAAACTGTTACTATATATTAAAAGAATATATTTTTGGTGTGAATGTATGCTATTTTTGAGGAATACTTATTATAGTCCATTTGCAGAGTAGGCTTGAGTGTGTTCCTTGTGCTTGCTAAAAGTCGATACAAATGTGCTTTTAAAACAAACTTGAGTATAACGAAATACAGTTCAGAAGCTGGTAGTCAGACATGAAAGGCACTGTGAAGAAATTGCTCCTTCAGCAGTTAAAGGAGCTGATCCAGTATGACAGTCCTACTTGGTACAGAGAGCATTTGAAAGGTGAGAGGTAAGGGAATTCTTTTGGGATACAGGAAAGTTATCCTGAAAACCAATAAAATACGTATCTTCTGGAAATGCTTGAGCTGTGTGAGATGATTCCAGGGGTTGTGTATGTGCCCTTTTTGGTGTGACAGGCTTTGCAATCAGGTAATTGCTCTCCCTTTTGTGTATGGGTGTTGGCCCAGCAGTCGCACATGGTGAATGACAAAAGGATACCATGGCATGTTCAGTCAGTGTTCTTCAAGGGGGGAAAAAGAGACTTATCCAATATGCTTGCAAAATTAGATTTATTTAATTCAGTTGACAGCTTCTGATGCTCAGTTCTCCTTACTCCTAAAATGTTTTACAGTAGAGGTGAAGTGTTCAAAGTAAAATAGGAAGCTCTCATTAAAGATTGAAAACAGACTTTTAATAGCAGACTTTGGCAGCCAAAGTAGGAAAAGTGCACAGAATATTGGCCTATAGAAATGACAGGCACATTTTGAAAGCAGTCTGTCAATTCATAGGTCATTTTCCTGGACACCAGTTCTTACTGAAGTAAGTACAGAAGCCTAAATATTTCATTGCATTTGCATTGTCATGTTGAAAATAGGCTGCTGACATATTTCCACCTCTTGAGAAGTTTATCAGTGCAAATAATTCAATATCGTTTATACAGCAATAAATAATAACTTACATTTCAAAACTCAGGCTGTTTTCACATGTTGAATGCTGGATAGATGTAATTCCAGTAGCAGCTGATCCGGAGTCTTTGAGCCACTATCAAAAGTAACAGCATCTCCACTGGAAGTCAGTGTAGTCCACATGGAGTTGCTGTTACATATGAGAGCACCTGTAGTCTGCCTTGAGTGATCCTGTCTGTGCATTATCAACTGAAATAAGATAAAAAATAATTTTAAAAAATATATTAGGGAAAAAAGATGCCTAAAAGAAACTGCTGGGGGCTTCTCTGTAAGTCAGACCACATGAATTTGTCATGTGGAAGTTTGCAGGAAATTCCTCTTTCAAGGTAGAACTGCTGGTCCCAAACAGACACAATCTTTGGTGACTGCAAAATATTCTTTCTGACTTGAAAGCTGAAAGTTAGATTGTAATCTTTGATGCCAGATCTCCCTATGAGTCTTGTTTGCTGCTGTGGTCCCACACAGTCCTTAAATAGATTTGAATTTATGATTCTGTTGTCTAATATTATAAATTTACTGCTCTGCTGAACGCTAAGCTCTTTTTGTAGAGTACACCTCGTCGCATTACAATCAGAAGTAACAATTACAGTGATACAAATCTAGAAGAGAGAAAACATTTTTTAATATTGCAGTTTCTAGTAATAATTAGGAGAATATAGAAATACAAGTGTGATTTTTTTTTTTCTGCACAAGTGGGGGGAAAAAGACTAAGTAGAATAAATGTCCAAATAAACAAACTTCCTCAACTTTCTATATGTAATCACATTCTTGAGGAAAATATTCTGATTTGAGGAAATTGAAGAAGAGGAGAGAAAGAGATCCAAAAGTAAAACCAGTTTTGTAGTTCTAGACCAGGAAATAAATGTGAGATACACACTTTATTTTTATCTCATGAATTAGCTTGTTAATTTTACAAATACCCTGTTCAGATGATAATAATTGCAGTTTTGCCAATAAATATTGCAAAAGTTGTTACAGTGACAGAACTCTTGTCCCCCACTCTGTGCCTTTGATTTGCAAGCAACTTCCATTTCTAACACGCACACACAAAACAAACAGGAAAGAAAACCAACCCATTTTGGATATAGGTCTACTATTCTAATTAGCTTTTTAAAACACTGAATGTCTCCATTAGCTGCGAGCGATAGCAACTTACCATAACCTACATACTTACTGCTGAAGGATCACAATTCATGGTAGAAAGAAGATAAGTTGTCTTCTTTACTGCTGTTGAAAAGAGGCCGAGAGACCATCGGGAACTGTATTCTTCTCCTGTCTATATCTTAATGCTGCCTAATTTCTGTTAACACATTAAATAAGTGTTCAGCACAATCAATATCAAACTTGAGAGTGATTGGCTGGTGTCGTGGTAGCGTGAATTGCCGTAGGAGTTTCAGTGTTAAAAACGGAGCGAATGACACGTAATGCAAGTTCTTCCAGATACCGTGTATGAATACAGGGCAAAGTTTTACAATGGTGTTTATTGCTAACTCTGGGAATTACCATGCTCACGCTGAAGCTCACAGATTATAAAGTGATGAGTAGTTATTTGAGGAAGGTGGTTTTCTCTTGGTCACTTCACAAAAATACTTTGCAATAATCTTCCTCCTTGCATTACTGATAACTTAAATATATTCATTTTTTCTCTCATTTGGTAACAGTTAATCATAAGGATCCTGCAAAAAGATCACAGTGCCAGGGTAGGGTTGCTTTTTTGTCAGGGTTTTCTTTGAAAATGTAGGAGGGAAAAGGTTTTGTGAAATTACATCCTCAAAGTCATAATTATGCCCTCTTCAAAATACCTGATTAGATGATTATTAATGCTTATGTATTTTCTGCAGGGAAATGACATAAGAGGAAAAATAAATGCACTGCTGAAGTGTTTATTACTCGATTTGAAACCGTGATAGAACTTTGAAAATGTTGGCCAATAGCAAGTTGACCTGATGGTTATGGAGTCCTTATTTATTGCAGGGGATGCATAATGCAAGTTGGGCCTTCTCATACCTGTGTGAGAACTTTTGTGTGCAGCGTAATGAGATCTGTTAGTTCATGGGAAAAATGTCTTTTAAATGATTTCATGAATTAACACTGTAAGCTTGTGCGTTGCATGGCGCTACGCTTGAAGAAAGCTTAGTTCATGTCATGTTTGGTAGAAATGGTGTATCTATGATGGCAGATAGCTGGTGTGTGGTGTTAGCAGCTGCACTTAGGTAAGTGAAAGCAGTCATTTTATAGTGGTTCCACAAGGGAGATTGATAGCAAAATTGTACTTCTTTCTTGTGCCTTCCCCTGCTGCTGATGAGGAGAGCAGTTTCCCTTCTCTACAGGAGATACAATTTGCGCTACCACAGCGTTTCAGCCCCAGTTGTCCCCTCCTTAAATTCTCCAAATATTTGTCTGATAGACCATAATGTCCTCTGCTGAGGAGAGATGGGTAGCAACACAGTTTTGACAGCAGCAAACAGTAGGGTGTATTTCACGTTTCCCTCCCTCAAAAAGGTTTTATTCAGATACTGCTGATGTAAATCATTACCCTACATAATTCCTAAAGAACAAGCACTGCACAGAAATGTACTGAACACGACAGGCCTGCCCACGTTAACGAATAACCATCAGTCTTCCTTAAGACTGTCCAGTTACTTTACTTGTTTGCTCTGAAGCTGGAGGAGCTTGAAAGATTCAAAACTGAATGCAGACTTAAAGCAGCTTTGGCAAATCTATTTTTGTAATTGAAATTACTCATTTGGAAGCCTTCTTTTTTCTTTCTTCCCCTCTTGATTTCTGGAGAGCTCTGGGGTAAATCTATAGTTGCAATGTCAGAAAATTCTGAATCACAGAATAATTCCAAGTTGGAAGAGACCTACAAGGAACATCGAGTCCAACTCCTGGCTCCACACAGGACCACCCGAAAATCAAACCCTATGTCTGATTGACAGTGCTTCAGGCTGTACCTCCCTTTTGTAAAGCTTAGAATTGGTCAGATGTTTGGCGAACTGATCTCTGCTGTCATTGAACTGTCTATTCCTGAGAGCTCTCTGTAGATTTAGCCTGAAGGAGGCAAAGCATAAGGGATGCTTGCTGCCTAGCTTCCAGGGAGTGTACCAGAGCTGGAGTTGTTTGCATTTGTCTTTGAGAGGTAACACTTCACAACTGGAAGTGCAGACAAATAAACCTCTATGCAAATATTTCTGAAAGGAAAAGATAGCAGTCAGAAATGGAGCTTCTAAATGCTGTTTTACCAAGATAAATAGCAGGTGCATTACAAAGTCGTAAATTGTGTCCCAAGGTCCTTAAAGTGGAAGGTGAATGGCATCCAGTCTGATCTTAAGGGTTAAGAGTGATGCTGTGTTGCCATTTTGAAATTGTTACTGGTTAGTGTGTTAGTGTGTCAGCGTGTCCTCTGTTGTTCTATGTGAATTTACTTTGTAAAGACCATGGTAGGTCTGGCATTGCAGTTTTATCCCCACACAGTCAACAGTCAGATTGTGTTTTCCTACCTTCTTACCTTGTGGTGTTACTATGTAATAATTTGTTTTACAACTTCTTGGAGAGCTTAGGTCTTTGTGCTTAAACTTTGTAAGAGCCGAGTAAATGCTGTTGTGATACAGCTCAGCTTCATAGCAGTGCAGAGAAAACATGTTGATGTCCAAATAGAATACTAAGCACTGACTCTAAGGAAGTGAGATCATCAACCTTCTGTATTTTCAAGAGAATTGTGCCAGGTGTTTGCTTTACTTGTCCCCCTTTTGCAACACCTTGTCAAGATGTACATTAATTGTTCAACTTGAGAAGTGAGGAATTAAAAGCTTACCTCTGATAGTTAGGTAACACGGTGCTTTTAGTTTGATATTTTTGATTCAGGATGATCTGCTGTATTCCTTTAAATACAACTGAAGTTTTAAAAGTTACCTCTTCATGAAATGCTCTATGAATCAAGAATACGAAGTGCAGTTTTTTGTTTGTTAAGCTGCCTCAGTGTATGTCTAAATTTGGCATTAAATGATGTCAAAAATTAATTCAACATCACCTTACCTACTGTGGACAACAGCTGAATGTGTCATTTTGAATGTCTTCTTCTTTGCTAACCCAGTGAAACAATCACAGATATCATCAAAATAGTGGAGCAGCAAGGAACAGATGCGTGGTGGACCCTCCCTATTGAACAGCTATTATCCAAAGAGGCTGTAGCAAAGGTAATTTTTGACTTAAATACAGCAAGTGCATGAGATGCTTCAGTGGTGGGAAGTCATGAAAAATATACATTCTCATGATTGTTTTGACAGGAACATTCAGAAAGAGATACCTGAGTATGGCAAATCTCAGATTTGTGCTGCTAATTTAGGTCCTAGATCTCCGTTCTCCTCTTCTTAGATGGAGAGGAAATTAACATTCTAATTAACTTAAATTATCAGCACAAATACATATTGAGTCTTTGCCATTAAAATAAATCTGAATTTGTATTTAGTTGTTCCCGCCTTTGTGTTGTTCCCTTTACAGTTCTGTTAGAAAGCAGACAGAAACTGTAGTGTTACTGTGCCATCTCAGTTTTTTTGGTAATTCTCCTTTCTCTATTTGGGTTTTTCATCAGAAATTATGTATCTGAATTACTCTGTGTTTTGTTCATGGAGTTTGGTAGCATAACCTGTGCAGAACTGGCCCAGAAACGAAATGTATTTTATTTCTGTGAAAAGCATTGATGATATGGTGTATTTTATGTGCATTTCTTAACATATGTGGTTTTTTTTCCTAATAGGCTGGTGGTCATGATGTTTTGGATTATGTCAAGGGGCAGGATGTCCTGGACATCTGGTTTGATAGTGGAACTTCCTGGGCTCATGTTTTGGAAGGTACAGAATGAATGTGTTGATCATTCTTTTATAATATTTGGAGAACAGAATGTAACTGTTTTGCATGATGCTCTTGGTATAAGCAAAGCTGAGTCAGGTAATGCAAGCAGCAAACTGGTTTTGACCTCCTTGAAAGCTGCTTTTGCTCAGAAAGAGAAGAGTTCCGTGTTGGCAAACTCATATTCAGTGTAGTTGAAGGTGCCACTGATTTTTAGAAAGCATTATTTGGTCTGATCCTGTCATGTGTCATACAACATATCTCCTAATAAAAGCGTATAGAATTTCATGGCACAGATAGCCAAAGCATTTTACTGCTAGCTGGTAGCTTTTAAATTATTTTTCAGTTAATAAATTTCAGTTTGTGCCAGGGAATTGCATTTGAAACAGACCAGAATTGAGATCAGTTGCAGAATCGAAGAATGTTTAACAATGTAGGCATACAGTAGAACTTCATTCCTCATTACTTTCAGTAACTAAAGCAGTATATTGTTGCTTAAAATATTTTGTTGGCTATACGTTGTCTGTAGTTCCAGCTGTCAGTAGTTGCTACCCAGCACGTCTGCTGTAAGTGAAAAAATATAGAAAAGATTATAGAGAAATAGGCAGCAATTCTGTGTTTGAGTAATATACACAACACAGTGTGTATCTAGCTATCTACCCATGTAAAACACACTGTTTGCCTGGAAGATAGTCCAAAGTCAGGAGTCCTTTCTAGAGGAGGAGTCTGATCCCATGCATTGAGGCTGGACTTTAAACTCTCAGTACACAATTACATGATAACAATCTTGTTGAATTATAAAACACGTTGGTACCAGAGGTTTTATTTCATAGCAACGTGGTCAGGCAACTGTACCATCAGCAAACATTCATTTTATAAGAAGACCTTTACATATGTTAAAGTTCATTCTCTTTAGAAAAGTTTCTGGCTTGGTTTGACTTTCATGAGTGTTGGGAAGTCATGGTATTTGATGTGCACAGTTACATCCTCGTGTACTCTGAGGGCTTAACACTTCAGGATGCAAAAACTCTCTCTAATCCTATGTAAAGAAAGGATGCAGTGTTAAATAATAGCAGAATCAGTACCCTTGATTTGCTGTTAATTCGTTTAAGGCTCTCATGGACTATAACATCCAGCAAATGTTTTGTTTTTCACAATACAGGCTTTTTTCTTCATGGTACTCTTAAAGTGTCTCTTCTCTGTCTGCTCATTTGTTTTCATGAAACTTGCTGGACCTGGTGTGTGAGGCTTCTCGTTTTGCCACGACTGGAGTAACCCAACAGGTTCAAAATTTGGGAGTAGGACTAACAAGAAGGATGATTTCATAAGCTCTTTACCTTCAGAAATGCTACAAAGGTTGCATTTCCTTCTCTTCTGTCTCCCAGTCACAGGCACAGATGTGGAAATGCAAAGCCAGAGATTCATATAAAATGG